TCATTTATTCCTCTATACAGGTCTCTAATATTCTTGTTCTTACTGTTCATTTCAAGCTCATCAACTTTGTCTTTCAGGTGTTCCCTCTTTTTGTTCCTGAAATGCCTGCTGGTTTCACGTCTTATATTGTTCAGATTATCCCAATTTAACTCGCTTGGATCCTGTAACCACTGCAACTTAGCCTGCTTTCTTTGATGTAATAATTTTGAGAATCCTTCATTGAACCATGGCTTATGCTTCTTCAGTTCATAATAACCTAGACTCTCTTTGGCAGACATTTTTATATTCTCTCTAATAGTTTCCCAAGTTTTATTAACATCCACCTCAGTGTCCAAGTTTTCCAAAGCCGCAAACCTATTTGAGATTTCAACACAATACTGCTCTTTACCCTCTACCTCATTTAATTTCTTGAGATTGAACCTCTCCATATGAACTCTGTGTGTTGTCTGTTTGCTCACTGCCAGTCTTTCCCTAATCTTTGCCACCACCAGGTAGTGGTCAGTATCACAATCTGCTGCCCTGAATGATCGGACATCAAGTATACTTGAGTGCCGTCTCCTATCTATCAAAATATGGTCTATTTGATTGTGTATCTTCCCATCAGGAGATGTCCAAGTAAATTTATGGATGTTACGATGTGGGAACATTGTACTTTTGACAGTAAGATTTTTTGATGTGGCAAAGTTTACTACTCTAACTCCATTATCATTACTAATTTCATGCAAACTCTCATTCCCAATTGTTGGTTTGAAAATGTCTTCCCTCCCTACTTTGGCATTGAAATTTCCCAACAAAATTTTCATAGGGTACTTCGGGTATTTATCAAATACACGTTCTAGTTCTTCATACACTTCTCTACGTTATTCCTATTCTCCTTGTGTGTGCTATATGTACTGCCCATCTCGTTCTCCTTCACTTGATAATTCTAATTAAATATGGTGAGGACTACATGTCATGAAGCCCATGATTATATAATTTCCTCTAGTCTCCTACTATTTCTTCCACTTCAGTCAAAATTCTCTGAGCAAACACCCTCAGACTCCAGTGGGACAATTGCATTCCCCAGACATTTAAATTTGTTATTGTGGTGTTTAATTTCACGATTGTTTAAAGTTAAATGTTTCAACCACGTGTCGTTATAAAATTACTAAACAACAAATCTCTGCAGGACCAATTATCACAGTTCACATACCTATATTTCATTTATATAGCCACTACATTAAAGTTTATATATATAATTTCCAGTAAAACTCTACTTTTGGCTTTATTCTCAGACAGTATGACACTGCTGTCATTTACATGCATTTCAGTTCCTAATATGTGATCACAAAGATGTCTGACTCATGCACACTCACTATACACAGTCCTGGCAGGCATCTGGTGTTAAAACAAGTTCATAGAAGGTGACTGACAAAATTACTTCCAATCTAAACACACTCACATGTTTGATTACTGCAATATTTCACTATGACCTTCTACAGCTCTGGCTGCCTCATTGGTAACAGAGGTTTGTTATTCCCATGTGGGCTGATGTGGATGAATGAACTGTGCAAAAACAGCTATTTGTTTTTCCAGACATCAACTCAAATCCTTATCTTGTACAGACTACGCAATCACTAAAATGTTTATATCAGCAAAAACATTGTTGCAACTGTAGTGGGACACACTGTGAAAGTCTTTATAACGATGGCGTAGTTTTCAATGCCAGGCCACAGTACTCTTTCTAATCACTAAAATCCTGCCTTCTCACACTTCTTAGCCACTTGCTGAACTCAATCTCCTCTCACGCATCTAGAAGTTGGCTGCCATATGGTAATGTTGGAAACAGGGTGCAGCATACACGGCCACCTTACAGTTTTCACAGTTGTACCATGTTTCAAGACACTGACACTTTTTGCAGCGCATAACACAGTGACAAGAATTTGGTTTCACACTGTGGCAGCACTGTAGGAAGGAAAATGGGGTTCATTCATCCTTGTCAGGGGTACAGTTTTTGGTCGTCTGCCTAATGGTCTCTCTTCTGTTGTATGATATTTTGAATCAAATTTTCTACAAGTTTCACTTGAAATTAGATCCTGGAAATGCTGCTGCCCTTTCTTTTTGTAAAGTAAATATGAATTCAAACAACAAATATCAATCAAATGACGAAGTGCTTTAGTAGTAGGAGTCTTTTCCTTGAGCTGTGACAGCATGTCAAGTAAGCATCACTGAGGCTCACACCTCCCAACCTGGAATTATAATCAGTGACTACTTTGGGCTTCTCCGTGTCTTGCCCTTGAACCACTTCATCATGACTGGTAGTTATAAGACAAATATCTCTCTTTTACACTTTGTTATCATTAGTCTGTATCTGTAGACTGAAACATGTTCCTCCTTTTTTAGTTTTGCGCTATTAATTCAGCAGGGACACCTTTCCTGTTTCGATGCAAGGTTCCCATAGCACCAGTTTGTTTGCTGCACAGCTTTTGGAACAGATCTGGGCCTGAGATTATCCATGACTGTCCATGATTACACAGTATCCTTGATTCCACAGAGGTGCCATTAGCTGGAGAAATACTTTTGAGCCATATGGCTCATTTTAGGGGCTTATGCAAAACAGTATCCTGCCCAATGTAAATAATAAAATTCCATACATAACCAGATTTGGCTTCACACAATTTAAATTATACTATACAAAATGTAGCACTTTTTGAAGGACTGTACACTTCCTGCAGCAAACATCCCTTGCACATTAACAAAGACTAGTATACTGACATATCACACTCTGGTGTATATATTTTTTCCCTCTCTATGGCTCTACAGCCCTTTTGACCTTGGCTGCTATTTAAGTTTCTTAATCTTATACACAGTTGGCAGGACTCCTTGGATAAGAGATCAGCCTTTTGCAAGGCCACTACCAACAGAATCCTTCCACTGGTCAGGCAGTTCTTCCTTATTTCAAAAAGAATTAACGAGTGTATGGATCTCAGACTGTGACATTTCAACTCCTTCTTGAATCAGTTCTCCTGGAATCTGATCATTACCTTGCAATTCATACCTTTTCAATTTTGCAGTAGCAATTTTAACCTCAGAGGGGCTAGGATAAGGTAGTAATGACTCAGATGTATGTATTTCTATCCGCTTAACATCACTGACCTTATGCACATTCAATAACTGGGAGAAGTAGTAAACACACAAGAACTGAAGAACTGCTGGAGATGGTGTTTCCTCTTCGGTCCAACCCAAGGCTACATAGCAAGTTTCGAAGAGGAGGAGGCCAGTGAGAGCCAGGGATGGCCAGTGAGAGCCAGGGATGGCTAGTGACAGCCAGTAAGGCCTAATGATGCCACAAGTTAGTTGAGGTGTTAGTTTGAGCAACGAATTAGCTGTGTGACAGTCACCAGCTGGTAAGGACGTAAGCAGAGGACACTCTTGGGGTCCCTTACCAGGCAACAGCTAGTGCAGGACATAAATGACTTGGTATGTGCTGTAGTGAGAAGTACAGTCCACAAATTAGTGAAGTGCTATAATTACTTGTTGTTACAATTTATAAGAGATAAATAAATCCAACTGCCAATTCAAACCCCATGTCTAGTCACTAACATGTGGCAATATATCCCCTCTTTTTGTTCCTGAAATGTCTGCTACCTTCACTTCTTACACTATTTAGAATATCCCCATTCATTTGGTTCAGATCCCATAACCCTTGCATTTTGGCTCTTTCACCTTGATCTAATAATTTTGAACATCCTTCATCAAACCACAGTTTATGTCACTTCAATCCTCTACTGACCTACACACTCTTTGGTTATGCTTACAGAATCTTCATTTATGTATATCCTGTTCTTTATTATCTAAAGACTTTATTTTTTGAGGCTTAAGTTTGTGTTGCAGTAGACAATCTGAGAAGTTTCAGTAGTGGATAACTAACTGGTGAGTCTCTGGCTAAGTGGATATTCAGACTTCAGAACAAATGGAAATTTATACCAGGAAACTCACAGTCAGCGTAGCTAACTGTATTGTGTTGCATGTCCCTGAGGTGAACTATGTTCTTTGTTACAAAACGGTTCATTAGCCTGGTGTTTATACTACATATTATAAGTACCAGTACAGATGGCATGCTAGACTACAATTCTTTCTGCATTTCTAACATTAATTGTAACAAATGACAAATATTCTTACATTACTTCATATCCACCCACCTCCTTCTCTCTTTGAATAGCACTCAGCTTCTCTTGCATGTTTTTACACTCAAAATCATTTTTATCAGCTCTCTTTGTCTCTTCACTAAGTCTCTGATGTAATTCTGCTATCTGCTTCTTGTATAATTCTAGCTGGGGTTTCCAAGTTCCACTTTTCTTCAGTTCCTAGGAAAACAAAATGCAAGGTGAAAGAACAGTTAAAAAGAACACATTACGTTCTGAAATGAGATAGAGATACAATTGATGTACTTCAACTGACCTGAAATGTAATGAGCAGGGGTAAATAAATGTTGGCTCAGTTACATAAAAAATTCTACCTGCAGATATTTCATCACAAGAGAACCCATGCTTACCCATCCGGCTGCAATTGCTCCACACCAGCCTACATACAATCATGTAACATACAGGATACAAAATATACCCACTGCTCCTTATGCTACATTATATTATGAAATGCTATTTCAAAGTTCCCACAATAGGACAAAACAGAAATGCTGGCCTAACTTACTCAATTTTGGTTGCCATCTCCTTCAAAACAGTCTCCTTGGGAACGTACACTGCAATCCCAACACTTCTTCAATGCTTCAAAAGCACCACAGAAGTCATTTTCCTTAATGCTGTCGAGTAATACTTGCGATTCTGTTTGGATGTCACACTGTTTCAAAATGTCGTCCCTTCAGTTTCACTTTCAATTTTGGAAACAAAGCAAAATCACAGGGGGCTAAGTCCAATGAGTAGGGAGGATAGGGAACGATAACCATGTTGTTGTTAGCCAAAAACTCTGTGGTTTTCAGGGATGTGTGGGTGGAAGTGTTGTGATAAAACACAAAGTTTCAGTCTTTTCCATCGCACATTTTCTCTCAAGCATCTCAAAGCGCCACAGCAGAGGTCCAATTTGACCATAGCGTTAGGAGGAACAAATACACGATGAAGAATCTCCTTTACATCGAAAGAAACAATGAGCATGCTCTTTTTTGAACTCTGGACCTGTCACATCTTTTTTTGGCTCTTGGTGACTGTGGGCTCTTCCACTGCGATGATTGTTGCTTTGTTTCTGGATCAAAACTCTAAATTCAACTTTTGTCACCCGTTATGATCAAACAGATCCTCGTAAAAGTTGGGTCCTCATTAGCCTTCTCTAGTAGCTCCAGACTCATGTTTATGAGCTGCTGCTTTTGATCATTTGTCAAGAGTCGGGGAACAAACTTTGAGCCAATGTGGCGCATGTTTAGATTTTCTGTTAAGATCTCCTGGAAAACTCCATAACTGATCCCAGTGGTGTCTGCGAGCTCATGGATTGTTTAGCGACAGTCTTCGTGTATGAGGTCCCAAAATTTTTCAACATTTTCTATTGCTTTGCTGGTGCTTCATCACCCTGAACATTCATCATCTTCAACCAACGCTTCACTGGCCTTGAAACGTGAATGCTCTTCAAAAACCTCTGTCTGGCCTGAAGAATGTTCTCCAAAGGCCTCACAAAGAATTTCTAGGATTTCAGAAGCAGATCTACCAAGCATCATGCAAAACTTGATGCAAATACAATGCTTGATTTTGCAATCCATCACAGACAAAATGAAACATGAAGTCAAAAACCAGTTATGCAAAAACAATGCGTGTTCACAACGCAGTGTCATATGGTAGACAGATGCAATAGTCTTGCGGAAGTGTGACCTTGGCCTCACCTCTCATCTTCTTTCACCGATTCAGTTACAGCAGTAACAGTCCAGGAACTTTCTGATAGAATCTTGTACATTATGTTACATTATTCAACATAACATAACGTATTGTATTGTAACATAACATAAGATACCATTTACTGCTTAACATCTGTATAGAAATGAAGAGGGAGTGGGACTTTTCACTCACTGGCCTTCATTTTTTACTTATTACAGACAAGTAGACAGGCAGACAAGTCAGTCTGTTAAGTCCTGTCAACTAGAATAACAAGTGAATGAAAATAATTATATTGTAACGTTTATTAATATTTGGATCAGTTATTGTTCCACTGTCCATAAGCACTTATTTTCTTGGTGTCAGTTCATTGTCCATTCATTATTTCAGAGCAATACCACCCACTCACTCTCACTGCACTGACATCTTATCTCTCGTCAATGAACTGGACTGAAAACTGACTTGTAATTATTACTTGCTGACTGACCCACTAAAGGACTGCACTAACTGACTCGCAACTTACAGCAATTATTACTCCACGTCTGCTTCTACATTGCACTGAACTACTTTCTATTTTGAAATGAACTGAAATGAAATGAACACATGTCTGTGCTACACTGCAACTGACTCATGAGAACTTCTACAGCTACTTCCTTACAGGTCTGGCATCATTTGCATACGTTTCATGAGTTCTTGAGTGACCGCAGCTTTTGGCATCAGATAAGCAGGGTTTTGAACAATCTGGGGTGGGAGTCTTTACATTTCAATTAAAAGAGGGGTGCACATAGGCCAGGTAAAAAGAACCCCCAACCCCCTACTGCTCAACTCTTACAATTCAATGCATCTCTTTCTTATGAGAATTAAGGTAATCAATCATGAGATGAATTCCATACTTTCAAAATGGGTAACAGGTCTATAATAAAGTGTGCATAGTGTATGACTCAGTTATGAGAGAAGTACTGTGAGACATGCTCAAAGAATCTGGTAAATCCATAAAACTTGTTAGCTGATTAAAATGTGTTTAAAGAAATACTACAGTATAGTCCACACAGGCAGACATTTCTCTGATGAGCTTCCTATTATGAATGTTCTCAAACATGGATATGTATTATTTAGGCATGTGTGAGTTTTGAACCTTCAACACTGAATTGAGAAAGAAAATTTCTCTGCTTTGATTTAAATGTTCATTTTCCAATGTCAAACTTCTAGAATTTTATGTTAACTTCTTTAGCTTTGTATGGCAGGATCTGATGCCAAAAAGGATCATGATTCCGAGTGACAAATATGTATTAGAAACTTTTAATCAGTTTCAAGCTGTTAGCATGTTCATGCCATAATTGATGTTATCATGCTATTAGAGCAGCCAATGAGAAAGCAAGAGAAACAGAAGTATGTTTCCAGGTCACAAGCCACAAGCTATCTTGAAGATGTCCAGAGCACTAAGGCTGGAAGCAAAAGCTGTAATTCACCAAGGTACATCATGAGATTCTGTGACAATGCAAGAGTCCCTCTGCATAAAAATGGCACAGCATGTCCAGAAAAGAGGTATTCATGTGAAAAAGAATAATGTGCCAAAAAGTATCAGGCACTGGACAGTTGTAATTTCTACTTCAGGATTATAGTGACTGAATGTGTGCAACAATTAAACAGCTGTGGAAATGACAAGAAAATATTGGGTCTCCTTAGGCAAACATCCTAAGGTGGAAACAAAAGAAATAGGAAATTATACCAATTTCAAGGAAATACAGTCATTTGTACAAATTCAAGGACAGAATGGAATGCCAGTTTCATGCAACATCATTAAATTTAACAGGTGCAAAAAACTCAAGTCCAACACAGGGTGTATTTTCAGATGCCATCAAATTACACCATCAATGAGCGAGGTGAAATATTTACTGCCATAAATATCAGACAATAAAAAGATGCGAGTGATTGTAATATCTGATAGTCAATCAAAAATCTATGCTTAAGGCACAGAATACTTGTGCTGGATGCACTTAATGGTCATTTAATCATGGATGTCACATCTGCAGTTCATGCAATGAATACTGTGGTCATGCAAGGAGGAATGACCACAACCATACATTCTAGCAAATAAGCTTCTTAAGATAATTTCAAATGAATGTCTTCTGAATGGTTCTTCTCAGAGGACCATGATCTGATACCACCAGGACAATAAAGAGGCCCAATGTGGAGCTGCTGCAATAGCAGATCAAGACTGAGTCACAATCAAAGGATTTAAAATCTACCGTACATCTGGTATGGTTGAATGGAGAACAGACAAGAAGTTTTGAATGCTGGCAGCAAATATGAAAGTCTAAGGAGTGAATATGAGATAGAAGATAGGAATTTTGATGACAATGAAGCTGAGACAGTTTACAGAAATGGTAAATAAAGTGAGACTTGTGAAGCTGAAGACATCAAGAATGAAACTAACTCAAAAATTGTCATGTATAACATAATCTGTTCTGGAATATAACACCATGTAATCTGATCAAAGTAAACTGGCGTTTTGGCGCAACATGTCACATCTATCTTCAGGGCCAAAGAGTAAGCCATGAAAAAAGCGAGCATGAAGTACACAGCAAACAATGCTAACTGACTTTCAATGGATTACATGGTGCTATATCCCAGAAGATATAACTCTTTATAACCACTGTTGTGAGAATCTCGAATCCTACATTATGTATAAAATATTTTCTAATATTTATTTTCTTTCTTTCTTTCTGTGCATATGTTTCCTACTGCAGGGTCACTGTATATTCAAAATATTCTCTCATTAGTGTAAATATGTTACCTCACTGAAAAAGTGGCTAGTATTATAAATTACTGGAGTGAAAACTGGTCTACTAGAGAAAATTCTTGTTCCCACCTTACTTCTCAAAATGTTTCTAAATTTTTGTACCAAACTGAATAAGGACCTACCTAGTTTTAATACTACTGTTTTATAATTCTGCTTTATAATATGCAACTAGGATGGTCAAAGAAAATCAGAAGAGAATGGAAATGAATGGGACACATAAGATATCTGATCTATGGTAATGAGATTAACGTGTTGGATGAAAATATAAAAATCATACATGAAGCACTTTATTAGGTTCTTGTAATGAGGATGCTTAAAAAGCAAACAACAGGGAACTAAATATGTACTGTATGTCTGTCTGAACCTAGGACAAATTTACAATATGCAGAGCTAATACATCCTTCAAAATTCTGGCTAAGACCAAACATTTAGGAACGACAATAACAAATCAAAATTATATTCAAGAAGAAACTATAAGCACATTAAATTCATGTAATGTGTGTGCTGCCATTCAATTCAAAATAGTCCATCACTTAACTGCAAACATACAGATTATAAAAAAGAAACTATAAATTTTCTTGTTGTTCTAAATGGGTGTAAAACTTGATTCCTCACCTTACGGGAAGAACTTAAGACTGAAAGTGTTTGAGAACAGATTGCTAAGAATATTTAGAGCTAAAAGAGATGAACTAACAGGAAGAAGCAGAAAAATGTATGAGAATCTTCATAATTTGAACACTTCACCAAACATTATTATGGCGATAAAATCAAGCAGAATGAGACTGACAGACAGGTACGCATGATATGAAATACATGCCAAATTTTTGTCAAAAATACGATGGGGAAGGAAATAGTTGGAAGACATACATAAAGACAAGAGGAAAACTCTAAAATGTACAGGGATGTGGATTAAAAACATTCAGCCCAAGACAGGGTTCAGTGGTGAACACAAACATGATCTTTCACATTCCATAAAAGGTGGGGAATTTGTTTACCAAACTATTAGCTTCAGAAGAAGGGCTCTCATCCTTTTAGTTATAAACTGTATACAAATACATTCACACACCTCAAATTTCATGAGATTTGAGATTCCCTCAGCACTGGCTACAAAAACTACTATCTTCTGGGATGTAACTCTGTATGGTCTAGAAAAAGTTTACTGACATTAATGATGAACATTCTGTTTCCATCAAAAGGGTCTTGCTACTTACTTGACTGGCTTATCCTTCAACCCAAAAGATGTAGGTAACAAATTCCTCAAACGCAATGGTAAACTTCTACCATACTAAATGGCATCATATCCCAAAAATAGTAATCTTCAATTACATATTTTATTTTTTAAGTGTATACCACAGATCTGACAGCTGACAATAAATGATTCTTCAGGGGACATAAGAAGCCAACACCTTTACTAAAATACAGACTGGATCAATTCTCTAGTACAAAAGGAAAGTATACCATGAAATCATGGAAGTCATAACTTAAAGTAACAGAAATAAAAACACAAGAAACAAAGATACTATTGTAAACAATATCCTACTTCCAAATGTACTCAAATCCACAGACTTACAATACAAGACTGCACAAGCTTAACTAGTATGAGTACAACAAAAATATTTGAAACACACACCTCTTCAAGCTCCATGTTTTGTTGCATATAGTCTGTGTTCTTATCCTCCAAAATTTTCATCTGTCTCTTTAAATCACCATATTCTTCCAATTTCTTCTTGTATGAAGCAATGGTAGCTTCATATTTGACTGCTTTATCTGCCGTTTCCCTTAGAATATCAACTTCATCTTTTAGATGTCGAGCTTCATCAGCCATTTTTTGCAACTCCTCCAGCTTAGAATGAAGTTCTAGAAGTTCCTTCTCCTGCATTTCAACTTTCATGCGATAGTCATCCCGTGCTAGAAAGAATGGTTTAATGTAAGGGTCCTGAATTTGTAAAATGTTACATTTTTAATAAAATATCCAACAGGCAAACAATGAACATTAACTTCCTGTGTAGGCATTTTACTGGCCTACTGCTGAGCATGAAGTGCCCTTCTAAATCAGTAACATGGCTCTTACAATCCACCATTGCTGTAGATTGTTCACATATGCACTTGGAGATCAAAGAACAGAAACACAAAGGAAACTGCAAACTGCCAAAACTAGCTACATGATATAGAAGGGCTGCCACCTACCCGTGAATAATAAGTGAACATAAAATATCAAGGATACGTGAAAACTGTTTGGGGAAAACATGACTGCCAAGTATGAACTGTCATTACCTGTCTTAAAGTCTCACCTGAAATTACCACAGAAAACACAATGTGATAACACAGATTAACATGCTCAGTTTCTCAAAATGCAATGTAAATAACACCATTAAGCTTGGGGTTATGGATGAAATACAGGCATGACTAATTTATCCCATCATTGTTACAATAACCCTGAGATCATGAACATCAAAGCACTTGACAGTCTGCTACAACTTTCGCATTCAAAAGTAAACACTGGACAGAATTAAGACAATTGTGGACATAAACATTTGCATATTGGTGTACATATACAACACATGGGTCTTGGACTTTTGAGATAGATGGTCCACCATATTTGGTCTACAGACTCCAAACTTGCAATATTATTGTCTTTTTTTTTTATTATTATTCTGCATTGTTGTAATATAGTATTCTACTTTGCTGATTTCTTATGTGTGCACTGTTGTTTAGTGAATCTGGATTGTTAACTATTGTAAAGTTAGATGTACTATTGATTTCCTAGTAAAGTGGAGCAGAAAGTGATTTTGAGTTAAGTGCTTCATAGTAGTGTTTTTTTTACCAAACTGTAGAATGTAAATAAGGAAATTGTTTATTGTCTTGATGTGTGGTACTGACAGTCTTTCTAGTAAACGTGGAGCTTCTCATAGGTGGGTCACCAGTGGCCTTATTTGTAGACTGTGGCTACTGTTTCCACTTAAACTGTGCAAGCACCAGCCCAGTGCACCAGACAGGAGCACGCCATGGTACTGTATCCCATTAAGTATCACAAGCATGTGAAGAAACAGGAGAGGATCAGACACCTGGAAAAGGAACTACTAAGGCAGTTACAGAGGAAATTTGCAAGCCGAAAGCAGGAAATGTCAGCAGGAACTTCACGTAGCAGGACAACTCACAATATTGGGGATGGGGGGGGGGGCAAAAATTTCCAACTCACAGTCCCACAGGTTCTCTGCAAAGGATGCTAGTCAAGTTCAACTGAAGAATAAATTCAGTATGCTGGCAAAGGTGCATTGGAAGTTGGTCAGCAAACACCAGTTCTGTTGAAGCATAAAGGCAGGGAACTAAAATCATTCACAGCGAATAGAGAGAAAAATAAAAACAAAAGGAAGATTTTATTACTAGAAAGCACCCATAGTAGGGAAACTGGCCCCATGCTTCAAGAAAACCTAGGAACTAAATTTGATGTGTATGGTATTTTCAAACCAAATTCTCCTCTAACAGAGGTTGAGGATATAGAGAAGCTTTGTAAAGGCCTTGCCAAGCAAGATCATATTATTATAGTGGGAGGGCCAGGAAAAAGCCTGCAAAGAGGACATCAAACACCAGGGTGGGGTTTGTCAATCTCTTTGAGAGGCATGACAAGCCATGGATGAATGGGAGAGTTAGTAGCATGAACCTTCAGCTTAATCGGGATCTGAGGAGGAATGATGTCTCACATTGATGCTACTGACACATCATCTACTGCAAGGGAAGATTACACTATGCATGACTTGCACCTTTTGGGCATGGTGAACTTCTACAAAATTTGTATTATTATGACTGTGCATGAAATACATTAATGGGACATGTCTGCTTTGGATGGTGGCCCAAGCAAAACTGTGCTTATGGCAGCATAATGGTGCACCAGAAGCATAATCTGGCAAAACTGTTTACAAGCAACAGCTCCCAGGCAACTTGTTTTTGCAGTGTTAAAATTTCTTTTTGTTTCACAATAAACCGCACTATTCAGAATGACACTTGCATTGATTGAAAATGCATATACCAAGGTTTACCTGTAATTAAATACATCATCATCTGAAACCTTCAGGTTTGGTATCTTACATGTTTCTATCCTGAATATTTTTTCTTTGCAAGCATCAAGCTGTTTCCGTGTTTCCTTATACCGATGGATGGTGCTTGTACCAGGATCCTCCAAAGCTTCAAACTGACGTAGGCGATCCTGTAGCTTGAGGTTCTCAAGCACCACACTAGCTTTCTCTTCCTGAAGCACAGTTACCTACAAAAAAAAATTGTTTTATATGAGAAACTTTGGTAGTATAACTGTGACTGCTACAGAAGCATGTACCACTGATTTCAGTTAGCAGCATATGCTTTACAGATTGCTGTGATTGTACAGTACTACCAAAGTGAATGGGGAAGTCTTTTCAAACACCAAGGAGACAAAATTAAAGTTATGCTGCTACACATTTGTGGTCCTTAATTAAACTTAAATCAGTAGAACAAAATATTTACAATAAATGACAAGTTCTGGATTGTTGAATACGCCCATGATTATATCTAATATGTAATTTCACCTTTCGGTGTTTAGCTGTGACATACACGGTGTGTCCAGGATCCGTCACGACTCATTTTTTTTAAATTTTGCCCTACAATGTCATCTGTTGGCAAGTTGTGGCATTAAGATTCTTGAAGTTTCAGCTTTGGTTGTCTATAATTTCAAAGCACAAGTATTGCTGCACCATATGTTCTGACCTTGAATGTAACAGTACTGTTCTGACGCTCGTTGGAAAATGGCGGTTGAACAGAGAGTCAACATCAAATTTTGTTTAAAGTTAGGCAAAACAGCCAGAGAAGCAAACGAAATGATGAAAAGTGTGTATGCTAGTGATTGTCTGAGTCACCTGAACATTTTTCGATGGTATGCTGTATTTTGTGACGGCAGAGAAGACACTGAAGGTGCTCCACGTGCATCAAAGCCGAGAACAAGTCGCACTGAAGAAAATGTGAAAAAAGTGACCGAAATCCTTGCATCAGACAGATGTGTTTCTGCAAGACTCATCGAGGAGCTTTTGGGAATACCAAAAAGTATTGTGCATCAAATATTGACCGAGGATTTGGGCAAATGGAAGGTCTGTGCACGGGTTGTACCACACGCACTATCAGGCGATGAAAAATGTGCCGCCAGAGTGGAACACTGCAAAGACATGTTACAGTTGGCCCTAAGTGATACAAAATTTACAAAATTGATTGTTACTGGTGATGAGACATGGTGTTTTCAATATGAGCCTCTCACAAAGCGGCAGAGTGTAGCGTGCTTGAGCCCATAGAAGCCAAAACCAAAGAAAGTGTGCATGCAAAAGAGTCGAGTAAAGACACTGCTAACCGTCTTCTTCAACTCCAGAGGAATCATTCACAAGGAATTTCTGCCAGAAGGTCAGACAGTGAATTCTGATTATTATCTCGGAGTCCTCAATCGTTTGTGGGCGAGAATTCTTTGAATTCGACCTGAATATCAAGAGCAATGTTCCTGGTTGCTCCTCCACGACAATGCCCCACCCCAGAAATCGAAGATTGTGCAGATTTTTTGGCCAGAAAAGGGATCACAGTCCTTGATCATCCCCCGTATTCAACAGATTTGGCTCCAGCAGATTTCTGGTTCTTCCCAAAAGTTAGGCTGGCGATGAAAGGAGACCATCACAACACCATCCAGGACATCCAAAGGGAATGTACTGTAGTTTTAAATGCGATTCCACAAAAGGTGTACAGTAACTGTTTTCAAAAACTTTTCAATCAATTCCAGCAATGTATTGATTTAGAAGGAGACTATTTTGAAAAAAAAGAGTGAAATTTTGAAAATAATTCACGTCTTGTATTTTTAATGAACACAGCCCTAACAGGACCTGGACACACTGTGTATGTTGAAGTTGTTCTAACATTCTGGTACATTGTGGTCACCATCTTCATGGATCCACCTCATTTACAAACTACAAAATAAAATGACAATATAACTGAGATGATGAAAGATATACAATCCCCTACATAAAGCACAGCATTTATGAGATCCTCTGCAACTGTGCCTAAGTGAAGGTCAGTCAAACTGGTCACCATATCTGCCCTAGCATATCAGACACCAAAACTGTAATACAATGATCCACATTAGCCAAACACTCTACCAAGACTAAACATGGAACTGTGTTCCACAAGATGGAAACACAGCAAACATCCAAACTTTGTATCCAGACATTTAAAATGGTGCCACCCATATGTATAAGTTGCACAATACTGGTTCAGCCAACAGATGAAGTATTTCAAAGAGCTGTTAAGCTGGTTGGCAGTCACCATGTGATAACATATACACTCACATAAACAGGATCTGTTGCTATGCAGCCACTTATGTATACAGTTCTTTCTGTCAATGACTTTGTTCTTGTGGTCAGCAGTGAGCATTCACTGTGTTTATGTTGAACACAGAATAACAAATTTCTTTTTGAGAATTACAGTTCAGAAATGTTACAACAGATATCAGCACCATCCTGATTTACCCATACCCAGAAAACCATGTGCATTAAAGTTGTACAAAAGTGATATGAAACTGGATCATCAGACATCAATGAAAGCAAGTGTTTAGAGCCTTGAAATCCTAAAATTTTAGTGGTGCACAGTCTTCAACCTGAAGATTTTATGTCAAGGCTAAACTTGTCTAATTGACTTTTCAGAAATAGTCATGATAGTGCAGTTGACCTTCAGTTTCTTTTTATGATGACTAAAGGCTGTTTTCATCTCACTGGTTGCATTAATCTACAGAAAATCCACCTGTTAACTGCCAGACCCCATTACATGATCAAGGTATTGGTGTATGATGTTCTGTTCATGCTAAGAGACCCACAAGCCACAGGCTCCATACTCCTTTATTATACATCTGAGTTCAAGCAGCAGAATTAATGGAAAATGAGAAGAGTTACATGCATTTTCAGCAGGCCAATGTACCAGCACATACTGCAGAAAATTCAATGTGGGCACTATAAACTTTTTGATGAACAAATGACGAGAGGATTTTGGCCATCACATACCCAGATCTGCATATGCAGTTTTTATGGGTACAAAAACTTGAAATGGAAAGTACATTTGATAGGGTCCTGACAACAGTTTACGACACTCAGGATTACTAGGATTTTGGACTTTGCCCATTGTCTGGTATTCTAAAGAACACAATATTTTGGAATAGGTCCAATTTACAAAATGTGTTTTTGAAATGCTGTGCTCCTCACAGTATCAGACAATGGACAAAGTACAAAAACCCAGTACTCCCAAGTGTTGAAAGAAAATGTTTACAAAAACAACCCATGCACCTTGCAAGCATTACAAATTTAAATATGAAATGTTATTCCACATAACACAGCAAGGACCCCAGGCCAGCTGAGTGGCAGTTTAATTGAGTGAAGTGAAGAGAAGACTAGGAGGTTGGTGTGAAATGGCCACACCTGGGACCCAGTTAGTTGAGGGCTGGCAGCTGAGTCAAGCTCTGCAAGGGAGGCTGAGAAGAGATGATACTATAGTTGAATTGACAGCTGACAAGAGTTCAGTGGCAGGATATTTGCCAGACAGTAAGACATAAGTGCGGAAAGCTGAAGAATCTCCACTGTTAGAAGTCACTGCTAGGGAATGGCTGTTGAGGACAAAGCAGGTTGGGAAAAGGTTTAGCAGATGCTGTGGTGATTTGTAAAATGTGGAGATTAGCAACAGCACTGTAATTACTCATCATTCTGACTGGCGTGTACAAGTGGCCAATAAATCCATTCACTAACCCATACCTTATCCATAGTCGCACACATAAATACATGACAATATTACCTGAACAAACAGGTTAGGCTGATGACTTTCTCATAGTTACATAATTTTTTGTACTTGCAACTATCAGCTGATGTTTTTTTAACCCTAAAATAAAATGGCTCTACATGATAACCACTCCTGCCTCAGACCAGCAAGAAATCTCTACTCACACATACAGTTCCTCATTCATGTACATACCTGCATATCCAGCTCATGGCATCGCTGGGCCATTTGGTCTCTTGCTTCTGTTGCAGCTTCCAACTCTCCCAATATCCTCTGCAATTGGGGATCTGTTTCAGGACCTGAACCTAGAATAATGCTTGTCGCACTAGACCCCATACTGCTTCTATCAAGTTCTTGAATTGACTGCATGATGACTTGCTGAACAGATTCCTCCATGGACATTATCCTTGTTATATAATCTGTAGAATTTAATAACTTCACTTCAGAATTAAGGGCTGGGAGAGGATCCACAACTAACAAAAGCAACAAACTAATCTAAATAAATAAAAAAAAAACTTTAATCCAAACCTCTTCACCTTAGTTGCACAGAAGACATAGTTAAACAAAAATCATTTTAATGTTAATTAACTCAAAAATACAGCTAACCAAAAAAAATATTTTAAGTTACACAGACACTGCACCACAGCATCACATTCAGCATTCCAGAATTTGGAGTACAGTGAAGAGCAGGCAGAAGTCCAGGATCTATTTCTCTCCTAATACACCGTAACAGGATGTATAAAATAAATGACACCATAAAACAGAAACACATAAGAGGTCAGGCAGGCTGGAAATGAAAGACTGATTCGTAAGTATCTTAATATACCATAAACAGCAGTTTTGTGATGACTCCAGAAACGATGAAAATCATACGAAAAGAAACTCGTGGATAAACCATAAATTCTACATGGATAACTGGGAATGTGCTCCATCTGTATTTATATATTCCAGTGTTCCAGGCCAACAAGACGCTCCAATTACGAATTCAAAATCATCACAGATCTTGCAGGCAATTAAAACAGTATATTTGGCTCTCATTTATAGAATATGAATACCGTTAGACTTGATGGTAAAATTATTTTTTTTACAGAGACAAACTGGTGAAACAAGAACATACTGACAAATTGCGTGTGTATATGTCACCATACAAAAGCTGTTAATATTCTTTCGCTAATTTATATAAGCATCAAGTAACTGTCATACAATTCTCACTACTGCATGATCTAAGGTGAAGATATGCTTAGGCCCCTCACTGGGTTTGTGGTCTGAATATGGCTGAAAACACAATACTTTCCCATATCTTGCAATGATCTGGTCCCCTTCCAGGAAATACTACTGATTATCATAACACAGACATGAAGACCTCTACAGTACAGGATGCCCTGGCCTTATTCAGACTTTAACCCGTTGCCGTGGTTCGTCGTGTATGTTTCGTCAGGGATTTAAATCGTCTGGGGGGGTTCGACGTGTATGTTTCGTCCAGCTGCACACGTATGTTATAACGCCCATAATAATTGATGGTTTTGCTGTAGATTGTTAGATTTTTCACTGGCCTGTTGTCAGGAGGACTGTATTTAATGACACACGCGTTTAAGAGCGCTAAGTCGTCGTTACATATGCCTGTCTTGCAGCAACGTTCCTGTGGCTATTGCGAGCTGTTTCTGTTATGAATGATGTGTTTTGTTTGCTCTGAAGCTATAAACACCAGAGACTGATATGTGCTGGTGTTTATAGTATCATATTGCCCTGAGCTGGCTATTCAATTGGAATTCTTAGAAGAGGGATGTACAAAAGTTTATGCNAGGTGCTGTAGCTGCACCGCACAAAATCTTGCTTTTAAATGTCTCCAGTACACAATCCTAAATAATAATTATTGAAATATAGTAAAATTCAATGTGCATGTTGTTTCTTGTTCTTTTATACTCTGTACATGTGTAGTGTTCTCTCTGTGCCATTCAACTGCCTCACCTTGGTGGGGTATCCCTCAAAGTAAACCTAAAACACAGACAAAGTTCAGAATTTTACAGCCACTGCGATGTCCACTTCCTGATTCATCACTTTCCAAACATACTGAAGATGTTCAATGTTCCTAACTCCTTAGAGTGCAGTATACATGAAGTAGACTAGCTTTTGTACCAGAATTATAGTGCTGCCCTTTAGTTGACAATAACTGAAACATATAGCCATAAAGCTGGGGTTTCCTTTATAATAACAGAAGCACTTCCTCTTAGAGCTTAGCAATTGTCAGTAAAGTAGAATATTGCAAAGCTATGAACCTCATGTTGTCAAGGTTGCCAAAAGCTGGCATCTGGACAGTTTGTGTGTTTGTTTTATGGCATGCAGCTCCAAGTCACATGATGAGAAATGATTCCATATTGCATATTTTTAGAGTAACCAACACAAATTAAAACAAAACACAACAAAAAATGGACTATAAACTTTTTTGTATAACCATTTTCAAACCTGATGATATACCATGTGAAACTATTTTCTATCTTCATAAAAACAATTTTAAAAGGATTCTAACACTGGTGCATAACACTAGGAGTTGCTACACTTTTGGACTTCATCCATTGTCCAATATTCCAAAAAACTAGAGAACACAACATTTTGGAAACTGGATCTGTTTGTGTCCTGATGTGACGGGGAGCCAGAACACCTATTCTGTTGAGTCCCATAGTTTAGAACATCGGACGATAGTAAAAGAAGTAAAAAGTAAAGCTATCCCTGTAACAGGCCATGAAGGCCCATAGGTTTGTGAGACAGTGAGGGTCCCACATTATCTAGACAATGTTTTTTTTTTTACTTTGTCTATCAGACAACAGACAAAGTAAAAAGAAACAGCAATTCCAAACGTTAATTTATTATAAAAACTGTATTAGTTACAGCATTTTTAGTAACATGCTTACAATTACTTAAACACTCCCCATCAATTGGCATTTAACCCGGGCCAGCAACACCCTTAAGACCACTTTAACACCCTGGCATTTAGAGCTTAATGCCAAACAAGGGGGAAAAAAATAATCTTCATGATGTGATAAATTTTAATAATAAAAACTTGCCTTGTTTGCGATGACAGTTAATTGCACACCCCAGAATCAGCTGCAGAAGGCGTCCTAACTCCTCTGGATTGCACTTCTCTCCTGACAAAAAAATCAAAGTCAACTAGGAAGTGACATGTGTAACATTTTCCTTTATCACAAAAATATTACTATAAAGACAACAATTTATAATTGAAACCAGATTCAACTAATCAATACAGTGACTTTTACTGACAAAGACTCTCACTCACTCACTCCCTCACTCATTCGCTCGCTCATTCACTCACCTACTTACCCACTCTCACCTACAATATTATGATCTAAGATCCATAAGCTAATATTTCTATTTGGTATAAGGAAAAACTTCCTGATCAGTGGAGGGAGTCTATTATTGTACCAGTTCACAAGAAGGGCAATAAAACTGACTGTAATAATTATCGGGGATATCACTGTTATAAACTTCATACAATATTTTGTTCAATATTTTTCTGTCAAGGTTAAGTCCATAAATAGATGAAATTATTGGGGATCATCAGTGTGGGTTTCAACGTAACAGATCAACTATGGATCAGATCTTTTGCATTCATCAGATATTGGAGAAAAATGGGAGTACAAGGAGACAGTACATCAGCTATTTGTAGACTTCATGAAAGCACATGATTCAGTTAGGAAGGAAGTATTGTACAATATTTTGACAGAGTCTGGGGTACCTATGAAATTAGTTAGCTTGATTAAAATGTGTTTAAAGGAAATGTAAGTATAGGTAATCTCCATATCCAGAATTGTCTAAAACAAGGAGATGCTTTATCACCAGTCCTTTTCACCTTTGCTTTAGAAGATGCCCTTAGGAAGGTCCAGGAAAACCTGGAGGTACTGCAATTAAATGGGACACATGAGCTGTCGGCCTATAACAATGACGTGAATCTACTGAGAGATAATATGGGTATCATAAAGAAAAACACACAAACTTCAATTGACACTAGTAAGGAGGTCGGTCTAAAAGTAAGCACAGAGAAAAGTAAGTAAACGTTGCTGTCTCATCATCAAAATGCAGGGCAAAATCATGACATAAAGATGGGTAACAGATGTTTTGAAAATATGGTACAGTTCAGATATTTGGGAACAACTATAACAGATCAAAACCTGATTCATGAGAAAATTAAGAGGAGATTGAACTCGGGTAATGCTTGCTACCACTCAGTCCCGAACCTTTTGTCTTCTTGTATGCTGACTAAAAACATAAAAATTAGGACATAAAAAACTATAATTTTGCCTGTGGTTCTGTATGGGTGTGAATCTTGGTCTCTCACATTAAGGGAGGAACAGAAATGAGGGTGTTTGAGGAGTATATTTGGACTAAAGAGAGACGACGCGACAGGAGGCTGGATAAAACTGCATTATGAGGAGCTTCATAACTTGTACGATCAAGTCAAGGATAATGAGATGGGCAGAGATTGTAGCATGAATGGGGGAGAAGATGAATGCACATAGGATACTGGTGGGAGTACCAGAAGGAAAGAAACTATTGGGAAGACCAAGACGTAGGTCGGTGAAATGTTAAAATGGATGTTAGAGAGATAGGATGGGATGGTATGGATTTGGTTGATTTGACTCAGGATAAGGACCAGTGGATGGCTTTGTAAACATGGTAATGAATGTTCAGGTTCCATAAAATGCTGGGAAGTTCATGAGTGACTGCACAAGCGGCAGCTTCTCAAGAAGGGCTCAGCTCCATGAATGAGGGAGTTACAAGGGAGAATCAGTAAAGAGGTAACAAATGGAAGTAAAATAACTGTAATGGTCAATATAAGTGTTCTGTGGATATCACTAGGTAGCAGCACAGTCCAGCTTCACGACAGTCTAGGTAGCAGATGTGCATGTGCATATTCAGAGGCTGGTATCAGTAGTCAAAATGGTGACCATGCTTGAGGAGTGTATGAATATTCTGAAGAACAGCATTCTGTTGTGCATTTTTTTCAGGTAAAAGGACTCAATGCAAAGGATATTCATAAAGAAATGTTTCCTGTTTATAGTGGGAGGTGTTTGTCATGTAAAGTGGTTCACAACTGGGTCAAGAAATTCTCTCAAGGACTTTTGAAAGTCGCAGATGATGCTTGATTAGGTCACCCTGCAACAGAAGCAACTGTGCAGAGGGTGGAAGAGGTGATTCGAGCTGACAGAATAACGACAGACAGTGTAGCAATTGCACTAGGATGTTTTCATTGTTCAGTATACAGCGTAATGCATGATTGTTTCAAGTTTTGGAAAGTGTGTCCACAGTGGTTGCCCAGAGAACTGAAGGATAAAGTATAAATGAACCAAATGGGTCTGTCCTTGCAACATCTCTCACAGTATGCAGATGAAGGAGAAGACATGCTTAACAGGAGTGCTACTGGAGGCAAATCAGAGATGCATCACTACAAACCTAAATCAAAGCATGCTTCAATGCAATGGAAACATCCCATTTCAGGTTCATTCAAGAAGTTTAAGGTTATGCCATCAGCTGGGAAGGTTATGCTTACCGCATATTGGGCTGGTCAGGGAGTACTGTTAGCCCATTTCCAGAAGCATGGTGAAAATGTGAATTCTGCATTGTACTGTGAAGTTCTCTTGAAGCTTTTGGATGCAATTAACAGAAAATGTCCAGGCCAACTGGCAAGAGGGGTACTGCATCATAACAATGCCAGACCCCATACAGCACAAGCAACCCAAGAAGAGAATTCAAGAACTATAGTGGGAACTTTCCAAACTTTCACCTTACAGCCTGGACTTGGCCCCTAGTGAGTTCCACTAAAAATCCACCTTGGTGGCAAATGTTTTGCTGAAGACAAAGAGGTTGAAACATAGGTGTGGAAGTGGCTGAGGCAAGGTCAAGAGACTTCTATGCTGCAGGTTTTGAGGCACTGGTAAAGAGATGGGACAAATGTTTCAGTGTTGGTGGAGAATATGTCGAGAAATATGTGTTCTTTTCCAAGTTCTAATATCATATGTTTTATGTTTTATACCCATTCGTGGCCTATTTACTGACTCTCCCTCATATGTCATTAAATACAAAATTCTGATGATGCTGTCAACCCAGCTACTCTCCAACAAAAACTTCTTCTTACTACTACTGCCCCCCCACCTATAGGCCCAGTGTGGACCTATAAGGAGGCCTTGCTTGGTAGGGGAGGACATCGCTGAATCCCGTATAACCAACGATGCCCTCTGACCCTAAAGACAGCAGGAATCTAGCACCTGTCCAAAGACAATGTGTTCAAAGTCATATAAACTATACTATGTGACTGAATGGTTTTGATTAAGGTAACAGTGAATACATAAACACTACTGGGGACTTCTGAGACTGATCACTTCTCTTTCTCCTTTATTTTCCTATGGTGCATAGTGATACAGACCATACACCAGGGAAATGTAGAAAACTGAACAATTCAGCCTTACTAAACTTATGTTTCTCCACATTATGGTTCTCTTGGATCTGATGCCATGAAGTATGCTAAAGTGGTGTCAATATTTTGGTGGAATGTGCTGCAAAGTTAACCCTGAAAATGGAAGCAGCACTTTCCTCAAACCACCAGTTCTATTTACCATGCTATACAATATCACAGCCCACAAGTGAATAATCTCAATACTCACTTATATGAGAACCTCAAAAATTGTGTTGCTTGTTCCAAACAGGTGAATATATAAAACACAGCCAAATTGGATAAATTCAGTTGGCAACGATGTTAGAATACTGGAACTAAAACTACTGTTTATGTTTAAAAGAATAGGTTTATCTTCTTTTAATCAATTCACGTCAGAAAACAAAAGCCTCAGCAGGATTATGGGGGTGCCTGTGACAGATATATTCCTATGCAAGTACAATTAAATAAAGAATACAGATGTAACAAAAACATACAAATAACAATTATTACCTATCTCACCAACATCTGGCCTGTTGAAATCTGTTAGATGCTGATTTAGGCACTCCTGGTAGTAATCAACGATTCCTTGAACAATTTTTTTCAAGTTACTAACCTAAAAAGGAAAAGAACCATAATCATAAAACTTACACTTCACCTGTTATAAGCTACAAATAACTTAAACTTCATCCTACGGATAAGAGGCAGGTCTAAACAGGCCTTGCACTACAACCTTCAATGATCTATTGTGGCTCCTTCTTTATTCCAGTCTTTCATTGATCCTACACTTCAAATTAAGTGTAGTAACTTTACGCTGTAGTCGGTTGGTTAGTCTGTAGGTTACTTAATGATGATGCACCAACGGATACAGTTATTTGGTACGGCATACAATGAGAAGATAATGTATGGAAGAGGTTGTGTTCATAACCTCTGTGAAGACTAATGACCTGGAACTGACTAAGTAATACCATAATGTTACTGTCAGGAGAGTTGGTGCCCCAGGCTACATTCAAACCAGGCACCATCACATACTTTACAACTCTTCAAGCCTGCCTGGGATGTTTTAACACACAATTGAGATACTACATAAGAACAAAAATTCACATACTGAAAAAGAATGTTCACAGTTTATGAACAGCAGAAAAAAAAAAAGACAAGTATGTAGACTTACGGGGGCATGTGGTAGCGTAATTGGTTGAGGCACTATGCTACAAGCTGGAATGTCACGGGATCGAATCCTGATGAGGTGGATTTTTTCAATTTACCTGATCCTTCCAACGGCAATATGGCCCTGGGGTCAACTCAGCCTCTAAGAGAAATGAGTACCAGGAACATTTCTGGGGGTAAAGGGTGGCCGGCACGTAAGGCTGACAACCTCACACCATCTGTGAGCTGATTCTCTAGGAAATATGGGAGCCTCGACATCTCACAACCCTTTACTTTTTTTTTTAATGCTAGTGGGGTGCGACTAAGTCCCTTGTACTGCAACCACTTCTGGCCTATTGTACCAGCCCCAGATGATAGGTGAGGGTGTTTGTGGAGCAATTGGTGGAATGAAGATTGGCAAGGGAAACTGAAGTACTCGGGTAAAACCTGCCCTAGCGCCACTTTGTCCACCACAAATCCCACTTGACCAGACCCGGGATCGAACCCGGGCCGCCATGGTGGGAAGCCAGCGACTAACCGCTTGAGCTATGGCGCGGCCCTTTTTTTTTTTACTTTACGAAGACTTACTAGGAAAGGAAATTGTCATTCATGCCAGAAATTAATAAGCCTTCCTGCTGACTATGTGAATGCTATCGTGGCTGAAGTACGATAGATATTTGGACCAGCTCTCTATCATGAATTAAATCAGCCTAATGTACAGTCTGTACTTCACACTCTTACACAATTCACCTGTACAATAATGTACTGTTAAGTATTTAATGAACAGACATGTGGTTTGGATTGGTAACTGGATTTACTGGACCTTACAAATCATAACTACAAGTAATTATAGCACTCTTGCTAATTTATACACTTTCCTATTCACTATTACTTGTGCTCAGTCTTCTCAGTTTGTCTTTATCAGTCACTGCTCGGTACTCCTCCAAACGCTGTACATTCCTCAGCTGTGTTCAACATCTGTCCTTGCTGCCTGGCAACTGTCTTCTATCTTGAATTATCCTTGTCCTGGGATGCCACTGAATTCTGTACAACAAATCATTGATTCGGATGACCACCCAGCAGGGTCTTTTCCATGGAGGTTGAAACTTGGGTGACTTTACTTTGGTGCAGGTTGGGCGACAGCCACACTTGGCTGCCCTTTTGGTTGGCCCATGCACTAGGCCAGGCAGTCTAACACATCTTTATTCAATTACTGGCCAGCCTTAGATGCTGGCAGGCATAGTCACAGATGCCATGTTGCCAATCCACCAGGTGAGCTGCATGGTCAATGGTGGGTCACTCCTTGTTGGGGGGTGCCCCAGACAACAGCTAATAAGACAAGTGGAGTTCTCTCCTGAACACTAGGTTAGCTGGGGCCAAGTCCATGGTGTCATGGGTGGATGCCCTATAGGCAAGGAGGTAGTTTGGTAATCTCATGTCCCAGTCCCTCTGGTGTGACATGATGACTTTTTGCAGTGTTCCTTTGCCATTCTGATATAGTGCTATACCATGACATCTGACTGTGGTTTCACGGGTGTAGTGCATATCTTGCTCACTCCCGGGCATTCCAAAACCTCCTGCATTAAGCACGATTCAGAGTTATGGTCCCAGTTACTGTGTAGCTCTACTGGTACTACAGAGCAGCAGCAATAGTTGGTAACCAGTGTTTCCACCACCACCATCAACACTTCTTGGCTGGGAATGGTGTAGGTTTCTGGCCACTAGGTAAAATAATCCACAGGATGTATCAGTTCCCTCAGCCACTCTGAGGGAAGAGTCCTCTTACATCAATGGCTATACCTTTGAATCGGGCCCCAACAGTGTACTGATCCACATGGCCCTGACCACTGGTTCACAGGACTCAGGTGGCTGTACTGGTGTCACATTCCTCAACATTGTGTCCAGCCTGAAGCCAGTAGTACCTTTGTTTGACCTTTTCCAGGGTCTTGTTAACACCCAGGTGTCCTCCTTAGGGTCCACCATGGTGTTCAGCCAGTACCCATTGAGTCCAGTACCCCTTGTGCATGGGGCTGCAGTTAACACCCTTGTTAACACCCAGGTGTCCTCCTTAGGGTCCACCATGGTGTTCAGCCAGTACCCATTGAGTCCAGTACCCCTTGTACATGGGGCTGCAGTCAACAATGTCTTTCCATTCCAGGCATTGTCCAGTTTCTCCTTCTTCTAGGATTGCTCCCACTTCTTGGATGGTTCAGCTGATCCCCATTTTGGGTTACAGCCTCACAAGCTCACATCTGCTTGACTTCTGCCAGCACATCTACTTTCTTCCTGGCATAGTCTTCAGGAATGGGCATCAGCACTGTTGTGCTTCCAGCCTTGACAGCACTCAGAAGTTGTATTCTTGCAAGTGTTGAATTCAGCAAGCTACTGCATTTTGAGGTTCTTAGAACTCATGAGCCTGGTTAGCATGGAGTGATGGGTATGCAGGTGGAACTCTTTGTCGGTAGGGGTACTTAATGGAAATGTTCTAGTCTCCTCATGACGGCCAGCAGTGTTCAATAAATCCAATTACCAATCCAAACCCAGTGTCTAGTCACTACATACATGACAACTGGTGTCAGAAGTGGAATAATTGGATTACTTCATTGGGCTTGTTGAATTGTGCTTCACAGAGTTAGAACCGAAGTGACCAATAATCATGGCAGATTTAAAATGTCTGAAAGCCATCACCTAACAGATGAAAGCCGAAATGAAGGGCAACCAAGAGAGGATGAAAGCCGGATATGAAGAGATGAAAGCCAGAATTCTGGAGTGAGAAGAAACATCCAATGCTGTGTTATGGAATGGCAAACATGCAATGGTGCTATTAAGCATGCATTCATTCCTATGCAATGGTCAGTAACCGTCACATAACTGCGGCAACAGTAACAAATGCAACAAGAGAGGAACTGTTGTAGGCTGTGTTCTCTATATGGTTTGTGCTAAAGCTATATAAGGTCAGCTGAACAAGCTAGAGGGAGTCTGCAGGCAGTCTTCAGTCAGTACTAGCCAGTGGTGGCCAAACGCTGCAAGAAGGAAATCAATGGCCAGGAGCTGCAGCCAAAAGGAGTTACAAGACAGTCGGCAGCGAGAGCAGGAGCCATTGGACACAGAAGCTGAGAAATCTACATTGTTAAATGACTTTATCAGGTGATGACTAGTAAAGATGAACTGCGAAGACATAGTGCACGCTACAGTAAATTGCAATGAGGGTAAATTAATGAAACAGTTATGATTACTTGTTGGTACAATAGGCCAGAAGTGGCCGCAGTACAAGAGACTTAGTACCACCCCACTAGCAATATGATTACTTGTAGTAATGGCTTTTAAGAGTCAAACAAATACAATTGATCAATTCAAATCTGGTGTTCAGTTGCTAATTCCTTGAGAGTATAATATAGCCAGTATCAGATTATTATGATCATTACAGAAATTATCCTGTGTTGGAAAGCAATACAAATTTGTCAACATGTTTACATTATCTTTGTCTTTCCATACTATTACTGGCATGTCACCTATAAACTTGGTCTTTATGTCACCCCACTTCATTCTCAGTTTCTTTCCAATTTAGTCCAACATTACCACAGCAATTTATGGTCTTTGTAAGTGAGGAGATGAAAAGATATTATCTATGATGAGCTTACGCCCAACATGTTCAATCCTTGCAATCAGTTCTGTCATAGTTGCATGTGTAATAGCACATTTCCTGCCTCTGCCTAAAATCACATAACTTGTACATTTTTATTCCCAAGCTTATGTGCTTCTTTGGTATATACTGTTCTACCTTTGAACAGCATGCTCAGTTGGGCTGTAATATTTAGCATGTATATATATATATATATATATCACTGAGCTTATCATACTTATGCAGGATTTGAGGTCCTCACAGCAGTGGTTATGGTTCTGTGATATATTGCTGTGTATTCCACTGAAAGTCAACCGGCATTTTGGAGGAACTTATCCCATCCATCTTTAGGGTCGCTGAATAAGCCAAACAAGAAACCAGTGTGAAAGCAGGTGGCGAGCTCTGCTTGCCACACACTGGTTATCATACACAGTTCTCATTTTCCACAATCACTCATAATTCACAGCTGTCTTATGAGGTTCACTTCTGTTGTCAGCAAAATGTAGAAAGCTCAGTAAATGAAATAATCTCTTATATCATTGCTACTAATGTAGAAGGACATAAAAATTTCTCCAGTGTTGAGCAGTAATCTTTCACTGTGTTCTTTTGATCATGCCCATTCTGCACAATATTAGATAAAAACAAGCACATTTCTTGTGTAGTCATATAAGGTAAGGCTGTGTCCTTCATAAAGTATGTCAAAGTACTGCCAGCAGTATATGCTAAGTCTCTTCCACCAACAGCTACATAATTTTAAGGAGGGGCATGAAAATGCTCAGCAGTGCAGAGTCTTTAGCAATACTGGATTCCTTGTTTTGTCTTTGAACATTTAAATTCAAAAACTTCCA